GGTTTAAAATATTACTACAATTAGGGAAATGAATTTGCTAAACATATGATAAAATTGTACTTACTTATTAGTGCAATCTAAAGATTGGTGACACTTTGAATTACGTAGCAATTGGTTTTTGCGACAAGCACGCCTATTTGTGGTACATTTAGATTTGCAGTCACATTTTCTGAAACCCTGCCCAGTACCAAGGGATTGTTTTATTGCTGTTTGACGTAAAGATATTTCTACAGCAGGGACATCCATCTTCTTTCGTTAAAAATCTCTCTTTGCAAACACTGAATTCAGATTTTGCATACAATTGTTTTAAAATACCTGTTTTAGTATCAAGTTTATAAAAGCCATCCTCTGTTTTACTAAGAACCACAGCTAAAATTGAACGTGCATCAGTTTTTGCTCTGTCTTCTTCGGGTACTTTAATTCTCACAGCGAAACCTTCATCGACGTTTGGGTGCTTTGCATTAGAAACTGCTAACATTTTCTTTGCTTGCTTTTCTAAACATTTCTTGGCTTCATCACGCTGTATTTTCTGATCCATATTCTTTTTACAGATGATGCACAATACATTCTTACCATACCCTTCCTCTTTAGGATCTACTTCACCACAAACTGCGTGAACAAACATATTACACGATTTACACTTGTGAGCACTTGATGCTGCTTTTGAGCAAACAATACAGACTATGTCTTGTATAGTGCTCTTTACAGGCTCCGTACGAAACTGTGATGGCGATTCTGCTGAAGTTGAGAGTAACTCAGTGATGACTTCTTCAACTTGCAGAGGCGATTCCTTGGAGGTGCAGGGTAACTGAATATTCTTCGTGACTGCATCATCAATCAACGGTATAGAAGGCAGTTTAAGATTACTATCGGTAAATTCTTGTATTTCTATAGGTGATTCTGTAGAAGCGGGGGATAACGGAATGTCCTCTTGAGTAAGATTTGACTGTGATCTCATAATCACAGTCTCTTGTGAATCTTCTAATTTTTCAAGGTCTTCTTCAGTTTTTATCGAATGTCAAACAATTCTCCGGCATGGACAAACTTTTTCAAACCTTTCTCGCGCATCTGACAACGGCTCAATGAGTTTTTCACAGCCTCGTACAGTCAACACATCACACCTTTGAATTATTTGATAATCTCGAGATGATTCTTTCTTCTTGGAAACTTTTATTTGCTTTACATCTTCAATTATGGAATCATACTTTGGTTTGTTATTAAAACACTACGTATTATATTTTAAATCTTCGCTAAAGAGGTTTGCGAAGAATCTTTTCTTGATTTTACTCACCAATTCGGTGCTTGCTTGCATTCTAGGATTTAAATTTATCTACGTAAAAAGAAGGAGTGGGGAAAGGAAGTGAAAGAAACAAACTTTTGAACTTTAACGATACGGAAGCCGTTAATGTGCAGATTACCTAGATAATCTGCAAATTACCTAGGTAATTTGAGAAATTGAACAATTTTCGCAGCTTTAACGGATCACCCTAGTTAATCTGCAGATTAGCTAGATAATGTAAACATTAACGGATTTCGAGCTTTAGTGGTAACATATACATGTATGTGTAATTTTGTGTGTTTGTAAAAACCACAGAATATCAGCCATGTCACAGAAATACCAGACATCTGTCACAGGGGGGTGATAAAAAAAAGATCAAGGCACATTTAATAATATATACCAAAGCATATATATCCAAATAGCCAAATAGGCTAAAAGTGTATGTAATATGTAAACACAAGCACCTAATCCTACATGACTCAATATGCTTGGGAGATTAACTGGTGCTTCTGATTTATTTATCTGTATTGAATAATGAAAAAAATCAAGCAGCAGCATGCTGGGTACAATCTAATCCATTCAATACAAACGAGCCATAGATGAATTTGACAGTTTAAAGTTTTAATGTCTAAACACTGAGTTTTTGTGTTATTGAAATATTGGAAGCTTGGGGGACATTGCCCCCTGAATCCTGAGCCTGCAGAATTTTAAAAATATGATAAAACACTTTTGGTCCACTTGGCTACTTCACTCTATCCAGTTAGTAAAACTTTCTGAGGACAACTGCTAATTCTGAACTAAAAATAGGATACAACTACAAAATAAATAAATTTGTTTTATATAAAAGTTTTATTATATTTTTAGTATAAACATGTGCGTAAAAAATTTATTTTAAAAAGTATAGTAATTTTTTTGTTTCATAAGCATGATATATTGCAGTTAAACAAACACTAGACACCATTTCATCTGTTTATTTGTTCTTAGTTGATATGCATTTTTACACGTTTGGCAGGATAGAAAAAATTATCAAGGATCTGTATCCATGCTTACATCCACTTTACAATGCTGTTAGCACATCTGTTAAAACATTAATTAAAATAGTCTTGGAAAGGCAAACAACAGAAGAGAACTTAAATTTGCCTAACGTAAAATATGGAATAGAATGTTTGTAAATTATATGTATTATTTAAACAGTTTGAAGTTATGTAATAATTATGTACATTTAAAATTAGTTGACTGAAGAGGGGTGTTGTAAGGCCCAAAACTTGTAAAAATGCTTATCAACTAAGAAGAGCAAATAAACAGATGAAATGATGCCTAGTGTTTGTTTAACTGCACTATATCGTGCTTACAAAACAAAAACATAGAACAACACTGTTTCAATTTGATACAATTTTGTAGTTGCTAGAAATGCATAATTTTTTGAACAGGCAAGAAATATTTTTATGAATTTGTGAAATTTCAGCAATTAGCAAATCATATAAAGTTTTTCATGTATAAACAAAACTACAAATATCACAATTTGCTAATTTATGTGAATTTAAAATAATGCATGGCTATCATATTTACAGAAATCATCTCAAAAGAACAGAGTGATAGAAGTCTTTCAGCAGAGGTAACTCATATTCTTATCACATTTTTTAGTAATTGTTTACACAAGTTTTAATTGTATGAGATGTTGAGAACATAACTTGTCATGCAAATGAAGAAGCCACTGTAAAATGCTTCCATGCATTTTAATACTATTTATTTATTAAGATAAACAACTTTTTAACAGCTTCAATCTTCTTTCTTGTTTTTAAATGCCAAAATTTGAGTATATCTTTTAAACAACACACAAAAAAGTTTATATATAAAAGTAACAATACAACATATATATAAAATGTACTGTATAAAGAAAAGTTGTGTACACAAGATGCAATCAAAAAAACCTGTATTTGACCAATAAAGATTTTAACATAACTAATTTAAATTTGGCCACAATTTACTTCAAAGTTCTTCCTGCATTTACAGTGTGCAGCAATCCCATCGATTCAGGCAAAACTCAAATGCTCATTGAAAGTCTTTAAATCTTAAAAATTCTAAAGCATCTGTTGCAATTAGCCTGGATCTCCTCGACCATAACAAACCTTTATGACTTTTTTCATTCTCCAGATTGAAAAAGTGGTAAATCTGGGAAGTAAAGAGGGTGAGAAAACTGTTGTTTGTGATTTCTTTAATGCAAAAAATGCTTACATTCAAAGTTTTGTGTGCAACAGCATTGTTGTGATGACAAGCCAGGTTTGGATACACCACAGTTTGATATTTTGTAACAAATATCCTCACAACAGAAACATTGTGGTAAAAGTGAATATACTTTCTGACTAACTGGAACAAATTTTCAGTATACAATCTCCTTATGGATGAAAAACAATCAACAAGATCATCATCACACTCCTGACTTGCCTTACCTTCTTGGGTCTCAACGATTGTTCTCTCTTCCACTGAGACTGCTGCTGCTGCTTGGTCTCCAAGTTACAACCATACCTCAACACTTGTACCTTGTAATTATCTCTGACATGAAGACAGGTTCATCAGTGGATCTTAGAGATCTTTGCAGATGCTGAAGCAATGGTCTTCTGGTTATGAGTCAACAAATGAGTGAAAAATTGGTAGCAATGCAATATATGCATATATTGTCTGTTATGATGTCTGAGCAGCTCCCAAATGAAATGCCAAAGTGCTGGTGCACAGTTGTCACAGACTTTTCATTATGTTCCAGCAATGTTTGACTTTATCAAATATGACTGCAACTCAGAACATTGATTTTCACCCAATGCTTTATTGACAAAGCAATTCAAAGTGTCTCTGCAGTAGATTTCCCAAATGTAATGCAAAATTAAAAATTTTCAAATTGCAGCATGACACTAAAACAATGTTACAAAATTGCATGTGACAAGCATTTTGATTTGAAAATTCAATTCCACTTGGCAAACGGATGCTCAAATGCCAAGAGTAACAATCCTTGGTGGAAAAAAAGCTGAACTTTCCACTATAACCAAACAGCAAAAATAGTCCATTTCTTTTTGATTTCACCATGTATATGTGAAGTCTAGAACTTTGTAAAAAGTCATAAAATCCACTTTTGTCCTTGAAATCTGAGGTATTTAAAGGATTTCATCCTAGAATTTCTTACTCCAATTCCCTCTCGCTATTTTCTGATTGGTCTCCTCCCTTGTTTCCAGGTGGAAATAAGATCAGATTGGGCCATGAGAAAGGTCTATTTTTGGTACTCAACTTGACACCATCTCTCAACTCTGATCAGGAGATGATGGAACTTAGAAAACTGCACTTGTATTTTAGATCTTTAATGTCTCCATTTTGACATTTTGAAATTTTAACTACTAAATGTGACATTTTCTTTTGAAACAAAGTTAAACTGAATCAGAAAACGGGAAAGTTTAACACTTTCCAGTTTTCTGATTCAGTTTAACTTTAATTATTTGTAAATCAGCATCAGAGTCAAAGTTCGAACTCTCTGGACCGACATCTATCTATTATTTAACACGTATCTGAGTTGCACTCAGGACTCACATTGTTTATATTCGCGTCGATTCATGCCGCATTCATTTGATACAATTTTTTTTTGTTTTAAAGATATTTTTTTGATGCAATTAACAACATGTTTGGACTCAGTCTGGAACCTCACACATATATAACAAATAACTATTTCAGTATTTACCTATTTTTGCAGCATGCAGCATTGCCTGTCCAAATTCTATAGCTCCACCAGTCATAAATTTCACTTTAAAAGTTGCATGGCCTGCCCAGTTTCCTGTAATTTTAAATGTTTGTTTAATTTTATCAATTTAACATTAAAAAATTGATATATAATACACACAGACATACAAAATTCTATTTACATAGAAATAATATAGCCAAAAATCATTGTATAAATTCTGTATAAAGATGATGTAAAGAAATATCTAGGATTTGAAAAAATTTGGAAAAAATTAAAATCATACATTAACCAAGATTCTAAACAATGACCAAGAAGTGTAATTATTAAGAATGTCTGTCTAGTCTCCAAAAATTAATCCTAATTCTAATGACAGAATGGCTCTCTATATATCATTTATTTAAATTAAAAAAAACATCACTATTTGCTTGTGCCAACGATAGATCTGATACCTAGCGGTATTAACATGAACTACATAATGGTGGCTGCTATGGGTATAAAGTCTGTGGTCTGTTAGAATTAGAAAGTGTTCAACCTACAATGGTAAATAATAAGTATTGCTGTGTATTTGGTTATAAGTTTAAAGGTTCATCAAACTCAGTACATATGCACACATTCCCAATAGATAAATTACTGCAAAAAAAAACAAAAAAAAAAAAAAAGTGGGAAATAAAACTGAAATTATCAGTTCAGTTTCACCAACACCTAACTTTGCTAAGCTTAAAATTCTTTTATTTTTACAAACGTTTTTAACCTATCTAATATAGGCCATCGTCAGGTTTAATATTATAAATGTTCCAAAATGGAACATACCGTTTTTGAACATTTTACATATTTAAAATTAAAAAAAATAATTTAACTTTAAAATAAATTGAAAGAAGTGTGTATATTAAATAAATTAAATAAATAAAAAATAAACAAACAAACAAAACAATTTAATTTTAAAGCTAACTAGAAAGAAACATGATTTAAGGGTTTTTAAGCCCCATCCTTTTTTATGCTGTCTTTATTGTTCTGTAGCAAGCTATAGATATTGGGTGCTCTTTTTCTTATAAACTTGAGAATGGTCTATAAAAGAGCACCCAATATCTATAGCTTGCTACAGAACAATAAAGACAGCATAAAAAAGGATGGGGCTTAAAAACCCTTAAATCATGTTTCTTTCTAGTTAGCTTTAAAATTAAATTGTTTTGTTTGTTTGTTTATTTTTTATTTATTTAATTTATTTAATATACACACTTCTTTCAATTTATTTTAAAGTTAAATTATTTTTTTTAATTTTAAATATGTAAAATGTTCAAAAACGGTATGTTCCATTTTGGAACATTTATAATATTAAACCTGACGATGGCCTATATTAGATAGGTTAAAAACGTTTGTAAAAATAAAAGAATTTTAAGCTCAGTAAAGTTAAGTGTTGGTGAAACTGAAGTGAATTATTTGCTGAGAAAGAGGTGGATAGATATGAAGTTATTAGCTTTTGCATTTCCTCTCCTTCTATAAGACATCTTTTTCGATCACCCACATATTCTAAAATGTCACAAAGTGTAATCATCATGATTTAAACAACTACGAAATCAACTAGGATTAACGTCGGGCACAAATGCAGATAAAATGTTTTGACTACAGAGAGAAAAGTTATTACAAAGACAACATACAAGTAACTCTCGTATGTTGTCAGCAGGGCTGTGGAGTCGCATAAAAATCTACCGACTCCAACTCCGACTTTTCCTTACCATCCAACTCCAACCAAGGGAGGACTTGTTACCGAAGGAGACCCAGAAATTCTGATGTCATCACATGACCCAAGAATAAAAGATTCAATAAATAGAGTTCTAATAAAGATAGAACGTAGAAACTTTTTATTCCAATGCTAAAAGACTCCTCTAACTTGTAAGTAATATATAAATATGTATTCGATAATTTTTACTTTTCCGGCTGTTATACAGAAGGAAAGTGTAGCGCTCGGTCAAAAAATGACCTTTTCCAAATGTTTACATTTTTGGACTCAGGATACCTTGAAATTTCGAGATATGCAAAAGATTTGAGTTTTTTTTTCGATATGGATGTTAGAGTGTGTGTGAGGGGCGTAATTTTGTTTACCTTGTTTGAAGCCTAATAATTTCTATGATCAGAGTGGTCAGAATTGGAGTCAGATGAGGACACAGGAGTTAGCTATTAAGCGTCAAAGTGGTTGAACTAAATCATGTCCCCGTATACATTCTAACATCTTAGGCAAGAACATCTTAATGGGTTTCACTGTACTATTATAAAATGACAAAAAAGCTTACTTTGAGGGTAGAGACGAGTTTTATTTTTTTTTTAATTTTGAACGCTAATAACGAGTAAAATATTCATTAAGAGATATGACTCATGACCCCTTTTATGTCTTCACCCTGTCGACCTTTAATTAAGAACCAAAATTTAATAGTATTAATACCCCTTTATATGCAAGCCACAGTGCCACATTTCGTTTCTTAAACTTTACTCATTCTGAAATATTGTTTAATATCTCAGAACAGAAAATAAAGAAATTAAACAAATTAGACATCAACACAAATGCATGGGAATTTTCCCCGTTTATTGACTTTTTTGAGGGGTTCGGGAGGTCTCCAAACGTGTAGATTTGCAAAAAACACCTGGAGGGTCAAATCTGACACAATTCCAATACTTTTTCATTTTATATACATAACAAGCTGGGAAGTAAAAAAGAGTTGGAGTCGGCGGATTTTTTGATGACTCCGACTCCGGCTAAAACACCAAAACTCCACGACTCCGACTCCACAGCCCTGGTTGTCAGGTACGCTATACTCTTTGTGGCAGCCATTTTGGTCGACTCGTATGCCATCTTTCTTTACTGGCACAAGCGAATTGTACTCTATATATACTTATTTATTCTTGAATGCAAAATATTGTCTTTATACAAGATGCATGTTTCATTCTGAAATCTCATTATCCAAAATGGCTTATTATCCAAACTCATTATCCAAAATGGCTTAGATTGCCTCTCGCAACAATCACGAGACCTCCCGACATCATTTTTGATGACATCAGGTCACCCAAAACAGAAAATTGCCATGTATGCATGTGATTATGTGAGGAAAAAAATTGTATGCAATAACAAATCTTGTATAAGGTAAAGATTTTCTGCAGTGGTGTTTTTTTGAGGGACTAAGATAACTAAAAATTTCAGGTGAAAAACTTTTTTCAAATGAAATTTTTACACAATTAGATGGAACAGCATGTAACATGATGATATTGTAAAAGCACAACTAAGTCAGTCAATTTTATGAAAAATGCCTGTGAATGACAAGTGTGTTTGTGCTAGCAGCCACATTATTCAGCCCTTGCCATATATAACATGCACACCAGGCCGTGATTTGAATCTATTTGGACATGGGGTCACCCCATTGTTTGTTTCCCTACAGACCAATAAGGACCCTCAAAGTTGGGGAGACATGTGACTGACATTCCCCAGAGGTGGACAGTTGGAGTATATACAATCTAAGCTGCAACAATTTGCATCTTCCTAAGACAGTTTGTCCTAAATCAGGTACATAGTTTAATAAATGATCATATGCATATGTAACAATTTTTCCACTCATATTATTTTTTCAATAACATTGGTCATGGAGGCTTTTGAAAACTGCCTCAAAAGCAAATCATGACATTACAGATGTTTGTCAACTATGCATGATGCCTCAAGATGACATTGCTATGTCTCTGAATGCTTGTCTCCATAAGATAGCCAAGGTGCTATGATTTTCAATGATTTAAATTTTTTGTTTTTTTACTTTATTTTGTGCCTGAAAAATACAGAAAAATCATTTTCTGAGAAACACATCAGCCCTCCCCTCATTCATTTTCAGCTGAACTCATTTCATATTAGTCCACATTATCACAAAATTTGGGAAGTTTTCTTTGAAAGAAAGATTAAGGACATTGTTTGGCAAAAAAAAAAAAAAGCAATATCTTGTAAACTAAACAATGCATGATCTTGAAATTTAGTACATGCAGAGAATACATATCACAGGATTTTTCACAATTATCAAATTCAAGGAACCCATAATTACATGCAGTATAATTATATGAATGAAAAATTAGCAGAAAATCATCACCTTATGCATATGCTTCTGTGATTAAAAAAACTGTATGTGATCATGGTTTAATAATATATTTACATATAAGTGATTCAAGATTGTTTTTATTTAGACCCAAAACTCATAGTATATAGTTATTTTTAATCAGCTTTATTGATAATTTTTAGATTACTTCATACAGACTGCATTCAAAAGCCTTACGACTCTAGTTGACAGTATCAGATTAATCTAAGCAAAACATGTAATTAAGGTACTAGGGGAAAGGGGACCATTTAAGTTTTCTGACATGAATCTTCTCTGCCAACATGAGTAAAACTTGTTCACAAAGGCAGAAGTGAACAGACATTACAACATCCATAGCTGAGCTATATCAGGTGCTTGTTCCAAGATGTTGAGGATGTAGTTCAAGGTCTTCAACCTTCAAATTGGATGAATCTATTTAGTAAATTTTCACTAGGATATACAAATAAATATCCATTTAGATTGTCTTTATTTGAGTCATACATTTTGAATTTACAACTTTTGGTAAATACAGTTCGTGCACATTTTTAACATTAATGGTTACAAACTGCATAGCTGAACATTCATTTTCTCTATTCAAACATTTAAAAATACCAACAGAACAGCTACGCAACAAGACAGTTTGAATGCCCCATCTACAATAAGTATAGAAGATATGCCAGATCAATTTTGAGGACTTGATTGAAAGATTTTATATTTAAAAAATCTACAAGAAAATATTTTAAAAAGTAAATAAATGTAAATCTGTAGGTAAGTCTTTGTTTATATATTTTACTGATATTTTAGTATTTTATTAAATAAATACAAATGAAATAAAAAAAAAAAAACCAAAAACTTTTTATTCAATGTAGCTGTAGAATTTTTCCTGGAAGAAAACTAAATTTAGAATTAAACTAGGATATAAATTTTCAAACTATTTCATGATCAATACTTAAGATATGAGATATTAAGATTCAATAAGCAATAGAGAAGCTAAGACCAAAGGACACCATTGGTTGGTTGTGCTTAATACATCATTTGTCCTTAATCCAGAACTGCTAGCAGTGCTATTCAAGATATTACATTGAATGCAGAACAGCATTGATAATTACAAATATGATTTATTTGACCAAGACAGGATTAACAAAACTAGCTTAGTATATCATGAAACATTCTCTGCACAACACACATTTATCCCTGTTTCTTTTCAGACAAATGCACCTAGATCAATAAATTTCACACAACTGAGAGATGCTCTCCTGTAATGACTATAAAAGTAAAGCAACATTTTACATGCTATTGGGTTTCAAAAATTCCCAGAACTGTAATATATAAATGATTTTTAAGGGCATTGAACATAATAAAACTTTATATCCTTCATTAATTTTTTAAAAATAAAAGTGAAGTCTAGGGCAATCTTGAATTTATATTTTTAATTTATAAAATCATATATGCACATATTTATAATTAAAAATATTCTAATAATTAAATACCTCCTGCTTGAGCTTTTACTTTTCCTTTGATGTAATTAGCACCAAAAATCGGTTGTTCAAGTTCTATTGAAGTCATTGAGAAAAATGGGAAACTAAATGATTGAAGAAAGTCACTAGCATTTTTATTGGTGAATATCATCTGAAATAAAACAGTACATTTAAAATATTTTATTCAAAAAATTTTTTTAAATTACTTTTTAAGAGATTATTATAGACACATTAAAAGTCTAAAGTCTTTTCAGAACCAGTAACTGCTAAAGAAATACAAAATCAAAAAATCAGCAACGAGTTGCATGACTTTCCTGGCTATTACGAGATCTTATTTAGAAAATAACTTTTATAATTTTAATTACAGTATAACTTAATAAAATTGTGTGTGGCACCATCTGTTATAAAATTTTATTATAAAATATTTTTTTATTTTTAATTACTATAAAATGGCAAAAAGCTTAATTTTGAGGGTAGGCATAAGTTTTATAAAAAAAAAAAGTATGTTAACCATGTGTAAAATCATCATTAAGTCTACCCTACTGGAGATACATATGACCCCCTTTATCTCGCAACCCCTTCGACCTTTAACCACCAAAATTTAATAGCACCAATGCCCCTCATATACAAGCCATCATGCAAAAATTTTGTTTCTTAATCTTTACCCCATCTTCAAATATTAAGTAAAATAGACAACAGCAGATACACAGAATTTTTTTTTTTTTTGTTTCCTTTTTTGGATTCAGGATGTCTTAAAACATGGAGATTTGAAAAAAACTTTCGGGGTCAAATCTGACACGATTCAAATTAGCATATCCTCAGTTTAATAAAAGTTTTTTACTCTCAAAAATTAGTTTTATTTACTTAAAATAGATATAATTTTGTAATTCAAATTACAAAATTAGTTTAAGAACACACTTCGAATAAAGTAAACTTATAAACAAAAATTGCCAAAATGTTTTTAATATTATATAGTGAAGAGAGTTCCAGGTTTACTGAGTTATATTATGCTCTGTTTTCATATTTTGCCAATAAGCAATTTCTGAGATTACCAAATCAATTGATGTAGCTATACAGTCGACCCCCTTATAACACTGTTGATTATCCTGTTTTATATGAATTCCATGTTGTACAAGTCACTGTTAATAACACTGTTTATTATTGTAATAACACTGTTGATTATTCTGTTTTATATGAATTCCATGTTGTATGAGTCACTTAGATTTTACAAATATGTGAGCTGTTGACAGCCCGGCACATGTATTTGTAAAATCTAAGTGACTCGTACAACATGGAATTCATATAAAACAGGATAATCAACAGTGTTATAAGGGGGTCGACTGTATAGCTACATCAATTGATTTGGTAATCTCAGAAATTGCTTATTGGCAAAATATGAAAACAGAGCATAATATAACTCAGTAAACCTGGAACTCTCTTCACTATATAATATTAAAAACATTTTGGCAATTTTTGTTTATAAGTTTTTCTTTATTCGAAGTGTGTTCTTAAACTACAGTTTTATAATTTGAATTACAAAATTATATCTATTTTAAGTAAATAAAACTAATTTTTGAGAGTAAAAAATTTTTATAAAACTGAGAATATGCTAATTTAGTAGAGTTTTTAAAAATTATCATAAAAAATTCCCAATATCAAATATATTTTAAAAGCTGGAATTTCTTGGATAAAATCACACAAAACACTTTTTGTACTTTTCCAGCAATAATTACGGAACAAAATAATTACGAGTCCAATTTATAAGCCTGCTTCAGATTAGAAGCCATTCTAAAGTTGAAAGAGCTAAGTTGAGTTCAAAAGTGGAACAATTCAAATATTTTGTGACATTACTTAAAATTCATACATTGCAATTAAGCATTTACATATTTAAATAAAATTCAAAGATTAATTCATATAATTATCCAATGTAAATTATAATAAACATGTATATAAATTCATATAAATTGTTCCAGTTTAGAACTCAACACAGCTCTTTCATCTTTGGAATAGTTCTAATCCAAAGCAGGCCTGTAAATTGGTCCAAAAACATTTTTTCTGTAATTAAAGTTAGTGCTAGAAAAGTATAAAAGGTGTGTTTGTATGAAAAATTCAGTTAAACTTTACCTACGTGCACCGTCATGGCCACACAGTGGGGACCCATGTTCTAACCTAACCTATTCTAATAAATCACCAATAATTTGGTAATTTATAGGTAAAGTTTAACCAAAAATTCTTTTTTTGAATTTGGAATTTTCCAACAAGCACACATCTAATTTGTCAAACTACTTTTCAATATAAAGTCAAACTATTAAGTATTAAATTTCTATATATGATTATTTTGTTTATCTACAGATAAAAACATATACAGTAAGACCCCACTTAATGCGGGGAATGCGTTCCTAGACAACAAAGTGTAAAGTGAAACAGCATTAAACAAGGTCATTTTAACAGAGTAAATAGGGATAGGGGAACACACAACCAAAAATAAACAAATTTTACTTTAATTATAAGTTATTTTTATATTAATTTGTATAATAATATATGTTATATAACACTAACACACACAAACAGAAATGTAAATTTCACTTTTTGTGATGAAGGTCCTGGCTTTTCTGAAATTCTTGTTCTTTTGCAATAAAGTCGTGAAGTTTCATTTGTCGCTTTTTTCTTTCCTTAAGCAAATGTTGATAGAAGAAGATTGCATCCAAAATGCCTCATTTTGCTTTTGCACTCCTTTCAAAATCTGGATCTTTGCTACAATTTGATCAATGATTTCAGTTATCTTACCAAACTTTTACTAAGAAAATCTGTAGAGAATTCTTCGTTTTCAGAATCTCTATTTTCCAGTTCCACATGAATTCCGTGTTCTGCCAGTTCTTGAAGGTCGTCATTCGTAAGGCTCTCACCAGAAACCTGCTGTAACTCCTCAATATCCTGCTTGTTTATATCTCCTAGTCCTACTGTATCGATTAGGTTGAGTTTGGTCAACCTAATGATACAGCAATAGGCTCTTCTCATTGAGAATCGTTGGATAACTTTTTCTACACTTCATTCGTGCATTTATCAGTTAATTCTTGCCAAGAAAGTCGATATTTCCTATGGCATCCATGATGTTATATTTTTTCCAAAATTGCACCAAACAAACATAGATTTAAAGAAAGTACACCTTTTTGCCACCTTTTGCTGATTGGTTCACGTTCGCAAATAATCTTATTATATACAAATCAATGAAATGCCGCGATAATTTAAATCAGTATAAATTTTGAGCTTATTTTAGGCTTCCAGAAGACCACATTATATCAAATCAGCATTAAGCGAAACAGTGTTAAGTGGGGTCTTACTATAATTTTTTTCATATTGTATTGTGTGCTAAATTAAATCATTAGATAATATAATGTCTTACACTTTATAATCATCATCATAATAAAAACAAAATCAAAAATTTATCAATAAAAATCTAACTGGTAAAATAAGACCAAGTTTAACAATTATTATCTTAGGCCCTAATGTATAAATATAAAGCAACAGATTTTTAAAAAATTTCATACCACCATAAATTGTCAGTTAAAGTTTACCTATGTGAACTGTCATGGCCGCTCTTCCGGTCACTATCTTCTTTGCGACCTGTGCATGCGCAAACAAGATGGTGACTGCTAAAAATTACCGATACACGCCTATTTTTAAATGTTAATTTTAAACTAAAATATATTGAAAACGTAAATTTGCTACTCACTTTTTTCTGTACATTTATTTAATTTTCCTATTATTTTTTCCTGCTTAACGACTTGATTTTTATGTTTTAGAATCTTCCTTTCTCTAATTTGACGATTTGACTACATTATTATTAGATGTTTCCTTCTTTTCTTTTTAGGTATTCTCTTCTTCTGTTTGCTGGTATCAGGGACAGTAGGAACCTACATTTCTAACCTAACCTATTCTAATAAATTACCAAAATTCTCCTTTCTTTAGTTTGCTGCACTCGGGAGCATTAGGCACTCACATTCTAACCTAACCTATTCTAATAAATTACCAAATTAATTCTTTTTCAGTTTTTTTTTCGGCAGAAAGATCCTCCATAAAATGCATTAGCAAGATTTTCCATTTTTAAAGTACAAAATAAATAAAAGTGCAAACATGCAAAAAAATAAACACAGTAAAAAAAAAAAAAAAAACACAACCTGCACCTTTGTACGCACCATAGTGGAACTTAAAAATTTGCATAATTTTTTTTACTTTCCAATGGAGAAATTTCAAAGGAAAATTTGCATAATAAAATGTCAATTTGATCGGCATTGGGATTTCTAATCGTGCCTGCCATTGAGATTTGGGAAGAGCCACCATGACGGTGCATGTAAATAAACTTTAACTAAATTGTCTTTTATAATGAAAGACTATTTCTTAAAATTATTTAATTGACTTTCATATATTTAAATAAACTTTGAAAACATCACAGCAAGACTTCATTTATTCAACATATTGAAAAAGTTTAATCACTTTTATGAACTTACTCTGTGTGTTGTAAGATAAATCCTTCCTTTTTTGACTCCATGAAAACTTTTTGCATCATCTCCTTCGAACTGCACTTCTACTCCATCACAGTATAAGAGAATACTAAAATTAATTATAAGAAATTATTAGGAATATTTGTATTCATTTATCAATAAATTAAACTGAATATAATCATTATTCAACTTTCTCCATATACAGTATATTATTATATATATATTTACTTAAGTATTACATATATTTAAGCATGCACACACTGCATTTTTGTGTGTATAACCCACAGAAAATTGCTAGAGTAAAAATAAAATCTTTGCATAGCTATACTTATACCTATATATGAAGCAATGACTGCTCTATAGATAAAAGATTTTTAATTGAAATTTAAAATCAGTGTATAACCTGCTCTATCACATAACCCCCATCTCTATCAAACAGTCTTTGAAACACAGATAATCTGTGCATTATATATGTAATACATTTAACTGTAATTGCATTTGCCCATTATAAAACATGTACGTTTTTATTTAGTATGATAAATATATTGAATGTTGCTTGTTTCTTCAAGAGATTCTAGTTTCTAATTTAGTTTACAGATTCAAGTTTACATGAAATCACATATCTTTGAAGAATCCTTTCCAAGAAATGTTTAATTCTTCTCTTCCTTTTCATACAGAAGCTCAGCAGAGATTAAAGGACAAATATGACACATTTCTTAGCTCATCTCAGGGCTTCTCTAGACCTTTCATTTTGCACAGACAGCAGAAAAGACAAATACAAAGTGTCTGAAAAACTGACAATTTATAAGAAGTATTATGTATTTAAGGAAAACAAATCATCAGTAATCATCAGTGAAATATAGTTTTTCCTACATTACACTGATGATTACTGATGATTTGTTTTGCTGTATTGCTGTGTTCCAGTATTGCTGTTGAAAGAAATTTTGAATGAAGTTTTTTCTGACTTATGATGGGATGACATGAACCAATTCACTTCATACTCCACTCCCAACAAAATCCCTTTGGCTCTTTTCTTGTGAATCATGTGAAGGATATGGTTTATTAAACACCTGTTACAAATATTGAAACAATAAAAAGTGATATAATAAACCTAGTCAGAATTATGCCTATTATACCAGCTTTGTAGTATAATCTGACATGGACAAATGTTACAATAACAGTGACAATTTTGACTATCACCCAAGAGAGGATAATTATGTAACACGTGGAGAGAGATTAAATATGGTGTTGATATTGTGAGAGTAATATATGATACACATATTGAGATTTCTTGAAGATTTGCTTACTAATTAAGGTAAAATATGTGGCTATATCTATTTTCCTAAAATAAATGTGTTTCTGTAATTCACCATTTCTTTTTCACACACTATATGATACATTCAAATACAGCACTCCTATTACTAACTTTTTGCTTCAATGAAATGCATCCACAAAAACAGATAAATGGCAATTTCATTTGACACTAAGTGAGAAACTTGATATAGCCTCTCAAAGCAAACAATACAGGTAGTCCTCGGTTTACGCCGCAGTTCCGTTCCTACAAAAGCCGGTGCAAATCGAATCAGCATAAAACGAACCCATATTTACACTGAGGTATAGGGTTAGGTTCCACATAAGTGAAAAATATGCAAATACAGTAATATTGTTTATTAATACAATATAATACAAAGTACAAATAAATTTAATTTTTAAAATGTATTTTATCATAAAATAAAGTTAAATGTTTTTATTAAAAATTTTAGTTTCCAATCTCTTACATTTTTCAGAAAAAGTATCCATCTTTAATTGTTTACATTTTTGTTTTCTTTCATTGAGAATTTCAGAATATGGTTGAATGGATGCGACGATGCTCCTTTTTACATTTGCACTTCGCTCCCAATCATTGTCTAACTCACAAAGTTCAACCGTCAAATTTTCCATAGTTGAAAGGATACATTAACCCGACGTAAAGCTACGGACGAGCGGAGACACTGATTGGTTGACCACCGGTCGCCGTAGCGCATACGTAAGGTCAGTTTGAGCGGGAAAATTAAGGAGAGATAGATATCGTTTGGCCAACAAGAAGTAGATTTGTCTCACTAATGATAGTTTGTGATCGCCGGAAGTGCTACTGCGTCGTAAGGTGTTTTCTTGAACAAAACTGATACGGAATAAATTCAATGGCGCTATGGATTCAGATGCCATTTATTGGACTATTAAGTTTGATAACTTGACTTGCGGGTACCTAAATGTTTAGTATTTTAATATTAATTTAATGCAAATGCATACATACCCAATAATATTAAACAGAAAAAATAAATATATTCAATAAAAATCTTTGTTTTAACGAATGTACAATGTTGCGGCTCGGTAAATACGTCAACACCGAAAAGAAAATCAGTCTGGCATAGGGAAAATCGGGGAACTACACAGCAAAATCACAAACTGTGCACAGTGTTATTGTGAATCAGCGTAAACCGAGGGCTATCTGTATTAGTATCACTTTAATTTTAATAGTCTTTGTAAAAAAATTATCAAACAAACATTGTAAGTATCAAATATTTGATTATGAAGTAAGAGGAAATAAAGACACACTGAGTGCCTCACTCAGTGCATTAACAGCTTTTTATTTTTGCTAGCACTTCTAACAAACTTAAGCTCATCATCATCAGGCGAATGAAAATTTAAAAATAGAAAACAATGTTCTAATATAAGTAGGACACACATTATTTAAAATTGAAATTAAAAAACCATCACGAGTATGCTACGAAGTTCAATTACGCTAGATGTTATCAGGGATGTCAGTTCTTTAAAAGTTGAAGTATGGAATTTTGTGAAAAGCAGGACCCCCACTCAATAACCTAAGCTTTTAAGCCTCCAGAACTCAATGACCTAAGCATTTAAATCTCCTGGCTTACAATGTAAACTTTTCAACCTCATAATCCCCATAACGCAACCTTTTAAACCCTGTAGGTCCATAAACTATGCTGTTAAGCTGTTCAACTTCATAATTCAAGCATTCAAAATATGCTCTTTTAAAAAATATAGAAAAATTTTGATACTTTGGATTATATAAGAGTTTGATAGGTCAACATCCAAGGAAAAAATTTGTTTTCATACAGAAAGCAAGTGCCTTGGCTTATCTTGCAATAAATCATAAATAATTTTTTCAATATTCTGAGGTATGGAATTCCATACCTGCAAAAATTTGAAGTATGGAGTCTTCCATACCTTCCATAGTGGAAGCGACACCCCTGGATGTTATGACATCATGAAATACATGTGTGGATATAAACCAATGTTAATTAAAGGTGTGATAGCACACTTAAATCACTATTCAACCATTTATATAGAGCAGGTGTGGCCAAACTTTTATCCCTTAGGGGCTACTTTTTTGGTAAAATATAGTCTGCAGGCAACTATGAATATGGGCAAACAATTTTAGGATTTTTATATGCGCATGCGTTAACATTCATTTGCATTGTTCATTGGGATAAATACAAGCATTATCGGTACGTTGCACAGACAGTGTCATCGAATTAAGACAAAATCTTAATTCGATAATTTATTCTTACTATTATTGTAAGAATAAATTATCGAATTAAGATTTTTAAACATTAATTTAAGTGAAAGCAAATTGTTCAACTTTAGCTTCGCGGGCTACTTTCAAAACCTTTGCGGTCGACCGCAGTCTACGTGTTGGCCATCCCTGATATAGAGCAACCAATATGCTGGGAAGGTCAAGTGTGGAAGTGTTGCATGGCCCCAAGGCTATTGTAAGGAGAGATTCCCATATAAACATGAGTTTCCAGTCATTGCAGCATCTGAGTAGCATTGAGCTCACAATGGGTTGTAATTCTGTTTGAGCACCTTTTTGCAAGCTCTGTGAGACACTTTCCTTTCACCACGTCATCCTAGTGCTCAGCTAGGTGACTAGCAAGCATTCGTGTTGTGGCCCCAATGCACCTTGTGTTTATCCCTGTTACAGGATTCTCCAATGGTATAGATTCCCAACTTTCAAAGGTAGAGAATTTATCTCAATCATTATATCTCTACCTGCATTACTATAATCAATTAATAAACTCCAAATATCTTTAAAATGCAGTCTATTTTAAAAACTTCTTGAATGTTTTCAGTCAGATTAACAGACCTTCTTCAGGATCGAACTAATAGAATTTAAATTTGCCAAATGGAAATTCCAAAATGTTCTATAATGTTCTATAACCTTCTCATATTCAATTGCGCATGTCCATTTTTATAATTGTAACGCCGCCACTTTCCATGCTGATGCTATTTTGTTTGATTCCCAAAAATTTATATTTTGCCCTTTTTCTCTGTATTTGTAAATGTGCCAGGCTTTTGCATATTTTAGATGTCTTCTATTTTCAACCTTTTGTATGACATCTGCCTTGCTCCATTTGATTTCAATCTCTGTTGGATCTGCAATTGCATAATTAGCCAAATCTGTGATTGGTTGTTTAAATCTTATATTCTTTTTGTGTTCTTTCAATCTTTCATTTAGCAATCTCTTTGTGGCTCCTATATAATATATCTCCTTTTTCAGCCTCTTATCATGCACCAGTATTCTGTACACACCTGGAACCAGCCTCCTGTCTACAGGTGTTTTGTCATAGGACATGCACAATTGAATATGAGAAGATTATAGAAGATTATAGAACAGTTTGGAATTTCTGTTTGGCAAATTTAAATTCTATTAGTTCGATCCTGAAGAAGGTCTGTTAATCTGACCGAAAACGTTTGAGTTTTTAAAATAGACTGCATTTTAAAGGTATTTGAAGTTTATTAGTTGTTTATCTCAATCATTACAGATGAGCCTGTGCAAATTCAGCAGCAGAGACTGGCAGGAGAAAGTTATGTTGCCAATATTGCATTGATTACATGGACATGCAGATGACAGTTATCTACACATTTCTATAAAGAAACCTCCATGCACTAATGTAGCATCTGAAATCTTATTCTGATTGCACCTTTCAATATTTATTGAATCAATTCCAGGAATTTCTCCTGAATGAGAATTCCCAACATTTACTTTTTAACATAAAAGTCTCTAATAGCTGTAATGTATATAAATTAAAAACAACATACCAT